GGGGTCCCACACTCCTGTGCAAAGCGAGAACCACCCGTGCTTACTTTAATTGGAATACATGCGATATTAGTTACTTATTGCTGATAACAAGTCATCCCAACACTGAGTGGCTTAAAATGACAAGAATTATTTTGTTCAGATCTGTAGTCTGGACAGGGCTCAGCAGGGAGGGACAGCTGTTTCCATGTGGTGGGAGCTTGGGTGACACAACTGGGAGCCAGAGGGCCCAGTCGGAGGATGGCTCTGCCGCATGGCTCAGAAGTTGATGCTGGCTCTCAGCGGGAAGCTCAGCTCAGGCTTTGGTTCTTGGAGCTCAGGTCTTGGGCTTCTTGCGCTTCTGGAGAGCATGTTGGTTGGGTTTCATGAGCGAGCAGCCGCAGAGAACCAAGGAAACCTAGTTTGCCTTTTAATACCTAGCGTAGGATGTTTCTTAGGATAGTCAGAAGCCCCCCCCCACCCCAGATTTGCGGGGGAAGGAACATAGCCTCCACCTGTTGAAGAGAGAGAGCGCCACACTAGAGCAGGAGGTACTTTTACAGCTACTTTTGAAAAATACAGGCTGTCACATATTGATATTATAACATTAAATATTTAAGTAATGTTAGCTCTTTGTTAAGTAAAATCAATATAGGAAATTTAGTATATTCAGGTTAGACCCTTTATGAGAAGAGAAACCCAAATCTTGTATGAAAGAACAACATTTGGGAGAAGAAAGTTTTTACACCAGTCTAGTTTGTTTAAGGATTTACTGTAACTAGTATCATCACCAACTTCTTAAAAATTCTCCAAACGTGTTTATGTCTTAAGTTTTTTTAATTTAGCTGTATCAGTTTGCATTCTTCGCTGCTTCTCTCATGTTCTGGCAAACATCTCAAGTTTTATTAAAGGGCCGGCATATTTCAAGCATAATCAGTTTGCTGTCTTGGTGGGATCTGAGTGTGTTCTAGTGAATATCATTTAGGGAACTCTGGAAGATGTTCATTTCATCTCTCTTCCATATGTGCTATTTTATGGAGCATTTATATGAGACTGTGGGGTGAGGCCCAGAGTGAACTCCAAGGTTTGTCAGCACCTTGTCTCCTCACACCCTGACTTGGGACTGCCCTCCTTCTTTCAAGAGCAGAAAAAGTGTCTATCTCCTGTGTTAAAGGGAGAGCCGAGGCTCTGATAGTCAGCAGTGGGGTCAGCATTCCCAGGGGTCCTGGGCCCCCGTGCAGGGCTGCCTGAACTGGGGCAGTGTGCCGAGTGTCAGAGCCCCTGATGCCTGAGCGGGCGCTCAGCAGAGTGTGCGCAGCAGGCTGGCCTTGGCACTGGAACTGTTCGAAGTCTTGGACAAAATAAGGGTACGCTTGGTGTAAGCATCTGGCTGGAAACTTTTATAGCAATTTGGCAGTAATTTTATGTTAACTGATTCTGATGATACAAGTTTTGTGCTTTTTTTCTTTCATTTTTCTTTTTATTTTTTAAAGATTTTATTTATTTGAGATAGAGCATGCGAGAGAGAGAGCAGGAGCAGGGGGTAGGGACAGAGGGAGAGGGAGAAGCAGGCTTTCCACTGAACAGGGAGCCCGACACGGGACTCGATCCCAGGACCTCGAGATCATGACCTGAGCCGAAGGCAGACACTTAACTGACTGAGCCACCCAGGCTCCCCAAAACCAGTTTCAGTTTTTAAAATCTTTTCATTTCCTCCTCTTTGACAGGTGTTTGGGAAAGATACTTGGTAATGCACACAGGTTACAGAGGGCTGCGGTTACAGAGCCCTGCAAAAGCCCTCCTCTCTGCGGTGAGGACAGTGGAGGGCTTGTTTCATTTAGAGACACAGAAGATTGGCAGCCCCCTTTGTACAGCTTTAGCCATGGGTCAAAAACAAATACAGAGCCACACAAACAACACAGGGAATTCTGTCAGTGATTAGAAACGGAATGGTCCGTGTAGCAGAAAGCATTGCTTGGGACTTCTCATTCCATAATTGAGACCATCCCTCAAACTGACCAAACCAAAGTTTTGTGACTGCTAAAGAGGTGACGGAGATGCCAAGATCTCAGAATCCTCCAGACCAACAGAAAGACAAATGCGAATGCCGCCAGTAGGGGAGGTGGGTGGTTGTTAACAGAATCTGATACAGAACTGTCTACAAGAGTCCAGGAAGGCTTGGTGGTGGAAATCTCACCAATTTGGGAATTCATAGCGTAGATGGGATTTTGACAAGCAGGTGATAGCACTAAACTGGAAAACAAAACCACATTCTGTCACGGAGAGCTTGCTTCACTCTCGTAGCATTTAGCTCTGCCTTATCTTTTGAGACATGTTTTCGCCTACTCCTTGGAGACTTATGAAGGATTCTGCCACTGATTTTGGGCCACAAAGGTGCATTTGTGTAGTGTTTTTGGTTTGGCTTCTCCCTTGGCACACTTGGTATTACAGGTAGTGATTTTCACCACTGGGACGTCAGTTCCTCTGAGCGACTCTGGAGATGCAGCGTTGCCTCTCAGGATGCATTCCTTTAAAGAACCCCTCTTGGTCATAATACATTATTTAAAAATATTGTGTGATTAAATTGCTGATTTTTTTTTTTAAGATTTTGCACCTGTGTTTATAAGAAAGATTGATTTGTACCCTTTCTCGTATTGTGCTTGTCTGGTTTTGTATCATTGTTTTGCTGGTCTCATAAGATAAGTTGGGAAATGTTCCCTATTTGTTCAGTGGAAGAATTTCTGTAAGGTTAATATTATTCTTCCTTAAATTATTGGAAGAAATCAGATATTCCTTTGTGGGAAGAATTTTAATTACAGACTGACCATTTTTAATGGAATAGGTCTATTTAGGCTTTATATTTCTGGTTTGGGTTTTGTACAACAGCAGTTTATAATGGCTTAAATTGTACTTTGAAAAGAATTGTGTATGCATCTCAGGGTACCTGGTTGGCTCAGTTGGTTAGGTGTCTGCCTTCGGCTTGGGTCATGATCCCAGGGTGCTGGGATCAAGCCCCAAGTCAGGCTCCCTGTTCAGTGGGAAGCCTGCTTCTCCATCTTCCTCTGCCACTCCCCCTGCTTATGTGCTCTCTCTCTTTCTCAGTTAAATAAATAAATAAAATCTTTAAAAAAAAGAATTGTGTATGCATCTCACCTTTCATGTTCATTGACATAAAGTTGTTCATGACACTCTTTTGTTAATATCTGATATTCTATCATTACCTCCTATTATTAACATTCTCTTATCTGTTCTGCTTCATCCTTGATGTTATTAGTTTTTGCCTTTTTTCCCTTGATTAGTTTGCTAGAGGTCTATCAGTTGCATTATTCTTGTTAAAAAAAAAAACAAAACCTTGATTTTGTTCGACCTCTAAATTGTACTGTGAGATATGGATATTTAGACCATTAATTTTCAGTCTTCATTTCTAATACATGCATTTAAGAGTACAGCTCATAGGGATGCCAGGCCGACTCAGTAGGAGGAACGCACAACTCTTGATCTCGGTGTTGTAAGTTCAAGCCCTAGGTTGGGTGTAGAGATTACTTAAAAATAAAGTCTTAAAAAAAAAAGTGTAGATTTTAATCTAATCACAGCTCTGTCTGCATGTAGTGTTGATCTTTCTTTTAATTGTATTGCCGAATTCAGAATACTTCGAGTTTCTTTTTGGCTAACGGGTTACTTGAAATACATTGCTTAATTTCCAAACAGTTGGAGATTTTCTAGTTATTTTGTTGTCCAGCTTTATGCTAGAGACAGAATATACTTTTAATAATTTTAGTCCTTTGATATTTATTGAATCTTACTCTTTCACCCGGCATGTGGTCAGTTTTAGTGAATACCTCATGTGTATAGTTACTGGGTATTTCCCTTGCAGGGGTGAATTGTGCTTAGGCGTAGTGCTTTCTGTTGGTTAGACTAAGTTTGTCAGTCATGCTGTTCCTGTCTTGTGTCCTGGGCCCAGGTGGACTCCTAGTCCCTTCTGCCTGTTTTCAGCCTCACCCAGCTTCTAGAGGCTCCCTCTGCTCTTGGTTTCAGGATTGGTGACTATCGTAAAGGGACAACTAGCAGAGTGTGTGGCTCAGTTCTCCACCCTGTCCTGCTCACCAGTCCTGGGGTCCCCACGCTCATAACTTGGTCTCTCACTGCCAGAAGCTCAGCTGGCTTCTCTCTCATCAGTAGCTTTTCTTGGATCTTCAGGCTCTCGAAGGCCCAGAATCGGCAGATGCCCTTTGGGAAAAGGCAGCTGTTCAGTGTCTCTTATGTCTCCATCTGTGTCCCCTGCTGTCCTGCTTGCCTCACAACATCTCGGACTACAGACACTGGGCTGGTTTTTAATCTGACTTTCCTGAGTGTTCTCAGTGGGAGTGTTAATCTTGGCCAAACCATTCTCCCACATTCAAATGGAAGTCCTATCACACCGGCAGACATTGGTTTGTTTATGCTTTGTGGTTTAGTTTTGCTTTCAGTTGTGGCTTGTCTGACTCTCCTGCTGAGGGACTGGCTAAGAGGGAGGACTTGGTTTTAACTCTGGGGTTTTCGTGTCATGACCACTCATTGAGTTTTTATTGTATGAAGAAAGAACTTGCATCTCACATAGAAGTTTTCAAAAGTAGGCAACAAAATTAACATATTTGGCTTTCCTACGAGATTTCCCCACAGATTTAAAGGCTATGATTTTAAAAGGGAGGAGGGTGAGGGGACATTGTTTATAGACAACGTGGTGAATTTTTGACAGAGCGGAAATAGGACTCCTGGCCTTTTAATTTGTTAGTAAAAATTTAACAAATAGTTGTTATGCTACCGTGAATTAGGTACTGCTCTGTGTGCAGGGCAGTACAGTGATTATTTTGGTAAATCAGGTCTCAGTTCTCCTGATGCTCACCTTCTGCATATGACATGACCATAGGGGAAGAACATAGAACAGTGTTGTTAATATAAGGATTAGTATGTCACATTTTAACCACATTTTAGTAGATTTCAAATATGGTACACTGACATTTTTTTTTTCTCTTCTAGAGTATGACAGATACATAGCATCTAGCAAAATAATGGCAGCTGCTTACCTTGACCCAAACTTGAATCACACACCGAATTCAAGTACCAAGCCTCACCTGGGTACTGGAGTGGAACGTTCCCCTGGGGCAATGGAGCGAGTGTTGAAGGTCTTTCATTATTTTGAAAACAGCAGTGAGCCAGCCACTTGGGCCAGTATTATCAGGCATGGAGATGCTACTGATGTCAGGGTAAGTACATTTTCCTAGGAGATATCCTCCATGGACATTTAGGTTAAATAGGCATGTAGGTTAATGGCACATACCAAAAAAAGATAAAAATTTTTATTCCCATATTACAGCGATGTTAACTTTTTCTTTATAATATTTATTCATTTAATATGTGACTGACCAGGATTTTAATTATAAAATCTCTTAGGAAAATAATAACTGAGTGATATGTTATTCATGTAATGCTATTGATGCTTATCTCTCCTTTTTTTTTTTTTAAAAAAAACTCTTTAGGATACAAGAGAACAAAGCAATTAAAATCACCTCTAATACTTAGGAAATAAATTATTTTCTAGAAAGTGAATCTTGAAGGTATCTGCATGACTCTGAATAGGATAGGTTCTTCAAAAACTGATTGGTTCCATATACGAGACACTTGTCAAGGTTCTGGGGATGTAAAGGGTCGCTGTTTATACAGCAGCTTACTGTCTGCGGGGGGCGGGGGGACACCCATGGCCCTGGCTGCAGTGCAGAGTGCGCCTCCCAAGGCAATCCTGGTGGCGAGGAAGCCTGCGTGAGTGATGTTGAGTGTAGGTGGTAGCCTGTGGGTGGGCAGTGAGCATCCTGGCCGAGAGTGGTGAGAGGCGCCTCGCGGGCCAAGGTTGCTGAGAGCGGGGGGTGAGAGTGTGGTTTCAGCAAACTGAGTCCAGGACGTCAGTTTTCAGCAGGTGTTGACTTTGGCCGAGTGTGACAGAACCACTGCTCCTTCCTTCCCTCTGCCCGCTCTGTGTTCCTCTCCAGGTAGGATAGTGTCCAGGGCCAGGATGAACATATATGGCTTTTTTCACCCTTTCTTTTTATAATAATGAAGCTAATTAATCTCTTACTCTTTAACTTATATGCCTTAAGTACTTTTAGGCAAATTAAAGGGATTGGCAGAATTTAGATTGAAGGGCACAGTATTACATTTGAATTCTGTGTAATTTCCCATTACCTCTATAATATCTCAATACTCACTGTTCAGATGGATTAATTATCGAGAGGTGAATAATTCATTCAGGGCTTCAACATGTATTAACATCCGTTCATGTGCTGTAGTTGAAATATAGTAGTCTCTTGTGGCAACCTTTTTATGAAGCTTGATGGCTTTTTCTACTTTTCCTATAGTTTTGTTTTATATTTAATCTTATAAACACAGTCACTTGGTAGAAAGGCCAGCAGCCAGTGTTCTACCTTAATGTTAATTGGAGGATTCATGTTGGAGAGAAATCTTGTAAATGTAGAGTTCATGGGAAGGCTCTTAGCATATGTTCTAGTCTTTGTGAATTTCAGTTACGGTGAATGAGGAAGTTTCTTAAAGCATTGCATCAGCCTTAATAAACTTCTCAGTATTTGTACAGGAGGGGAGCCTTTCAGAGATGTGAATTTGGTAAGAAATTTAGCAAATATTCAAGATTGATTATATCCGAAAATGCACCTTGGAAAGGCTCCTCGACAAAGGTGTTTTGGTATCAAATTTACTGCACACAAGAGGATCCATATCAAGGAGAAAACCAGTGATCACTGGGCACATGTCAGACCTTTAGCTAATGTTACAGACTTATCAGACATGAAAACATTTATGTTGTAAAGAAAAAATTAAACCAGATTCACATACCTAAGTTATGAGAACATACTGGTCTAACTTTTATGAAGATCAATACAAGCAAATCCATGTGACTGAGAACCAGGTGGTTTTATTTCATAGTAGTTGATAAATTTTGAGGTTTAATAGCTCCTACCAGTTGATGATTTTCAACTCGAGGCAAAGAACTCTGAGTTGGCATGGTTCACCACAGCTTTTCCTATGATGGAAGCTGGGTATTATTCATAACCCAGTTTCATTTAATGCTATAACATTTGAAAATGCAGTATTTTAATTCTAAATTAATGGATTTGCACAACTGAACAAAATAGTACTGCAGCACATGTCCATGCGATCTTCCTCCGCAAGAAGCACCACACAAGGAACATTACAGATGAAGGAACGAGCGTATGCTGTTAGGCCGGAGTGCAGTGGGAGGAACACGGCAGCATCTGAGGCCCAGTGACCTGCAGCAGAAATGGGGGGGGGTGAGTTCAGAGTGGAAGTGTAGGCACTTGGCAGAAAGAAACCATTTAATAATGGTAGCAAAGAGGAAGCCAGGCCACCCAGTTTCTGAAAAGAGATACCTTACTGTTGCCCACAGTAACTGGGTAATTCAGACCCCGCATTGCCGCATTGTTGCATTGCCGTAGTAGCCGAGTGCAGCTCTTGAACACTTGGAGGTGGCTACTCTCAACTGATGTTTTCTAAGTGTAAAAATACAAAGTTTTGAAGATTTAGTGTGAAAAAAGAATGTAAAATATCTCATTAGTAACCTGTTTTGATTGCCTATTGAAAAGATCATGTTCTTGACAGAGGTTAAATACAGTATGTTATTAAAATTGAATTCACCCATTTCTTTTTACCTTTTTTTTTTTTTTAGAAATTTTAAAGCAACATATGCAGCTTGCATTTTTATTTCTGCTAGACAGTTGTGCTCTGTAGAAAGTAATCATCAGACAGACTGCTTGACTCAAAAGAACCAAGAGCTTTGGAGAAGTTGAGAGATTTATTTTCAACAGGAATATATCTGGATTCTTGTCGTAATTCATTACAGAGGTTTTATTTCTCATGCCGCAGTTAATAATTTTACTCCTTTTACATATATGTGCTTCTTTATATTTTAATTAATTTAAATGTTTGGTTGTTGAAAGGATTCCTAGGACTCCACCACTTATAGGCAAAGTGCACAAAGCAGCAACAGTAGAAGAGGCTCCTTTTTGAAGGGACCTGAGAATCTCAGGTGCAGGCCCCATGGCCTTGGACACTCAGAGGCCATCACCGGCCCACGTGGCCACACCTGTGGTAGGAGGAGGCCCAGAACCTCCTTGGGTGGGGTCTTTGAGATGGGCATGTAAGCACGTTCTGTCTTTACCATCAGCTTCAACCTGTGTGACTGCCCAGGCACCACCGAAATCAGGTGCCATAAACCCAGTCATGATTCCTGACAAGTGCTGGCAAGCTGGCGCATCCTGCCCCTAAATAAGCAGCAGCCCATGGAGGCAGACATCACTTACCTTGGCCACGGCTTTGGCCCCGTGTCAGTAGCGTGCCCCAGGCAACTCTAGAGCTCAGATTGGGGTCGACCCCAGAGCGCCACGGTTAACCCATGCCAGACTACATTGAATACGAATGGTCACCTAGAAACATTGTTGTGGTACTTCAGAATAATAAGGGTGTATAGAAAATTCCAAATTCTACCAGAAGAATCCCCTACTTGGGAAACAGAATGACATTTACATCAGACTTTTCACCAGCAGTGCTGGATGCAGGACAACACTGGAACAGTATCTTCTTAGGGCTCAGGGAAGTAAATTGTACCTCAGAAGTCTTCCAGACAGACTGTCAATCATGAAGACATGGAATGAAGGTGTCTAGAGAGAAATATGAATGTAGAACATCAATACCACAGGCTCTCTTTAAGAAAACAGGAGACATACTGGAACAGACCCGTGAGCCCCAAAAGAAGTGCTGTAGGGATCTAGGCGGCTGCTGGCCATCACCGTGCAGCAGCCTGCATGCAGCCCCTTGCACCTCTCCTCCATCTCCATGGTCTCTTCAGGCTGTGCCCAGTGTTTAATCCAGCTCTGCCTTTTCCACACCTGTCCCCTGTTCTGACTGGTCTCACTCTGAACTTAGGACCTGTGTGCCGCCCAGCTGCACCTGCCCCTCTCCTCTGTCTCTGTGCTTCTGACTCCGAAAGGACTGTCCATGCGTCAGTCTGAGGGCTTCCCTTCTTTCAGACACTTAGAATCATCTGTTGCTCCTCCTTTGCTTACGCCCTACATGCAGTACGTTAGCTGGTTCTGTCCACACCGTTTCCCAGATGCACCCAGAATCCCACCCACTTCATCTGACCCCTACTGCGACACCTTCTTCGAGTTACGTGGTCTCCCGATATCCTGCCGTGCCCCTGGGGACCCCTCGGTCTGTTCACAGCCCAGCAACCGGGTGATCCTATGAAAGTGAAAGCCAGAGCGTGTCACTCCTCCACTCAGAACCTTCCTGTGGCTTCCTGTCTCATGTAGGGTGAACATTTAGGTCCTTCAGAAGCCCCTGACTCTCTCCTCTCCCTGTCACGCTCCATGGCCTTCTCTCCTCCGGCTCGCTCCCTTTGACTTTCTGCTCCCTGGGCTGTTTCTCTAACTCTTGTAATCAGTCATTTGCTCAAAACCTCCAGCAGCTCCCCATTTCTCTCAGAGGAAAGCCAGGTTCCTTCAGCGGCCTATGAGGACCTATAGGATCTGGCTCCTTGTGGCCTGTTCTTATTTCCAGTGACTGCCCTCACTTCCTCGGCCTCCCAGCCCAGGAGTGCTTCCTCTCCTCCACGTTTTCTGTTTCCCATCGCCCCATTTTGATGATGATTTCTCCTTATTGAGATTGTCTTGTTTCTTGATTTGTTTGCTCTTCTATTCTCTGCTTTCTTCCCCCAGACTGTAAGCTCTGTGACAGCAGGGGCCTTTCTGCCTTCTGGTAATGTCCCCAGCATCTTCAGCAGGGCCTAGGAGGCACACAGTATGTACTTGACAGATCCCCATTTGAGTGACTACACGAAATCCTAGATGAAATGGAGTACTTCTTCTTCTTTTTTTTTTTTTTAAAGATTTATTTGACAGAGACAGCGAGAGAGGGAACACAAGCAGGCAGAGGGAGAGGGAGAAGCAGGCTTCCCGCTGAGCAGGGAGCCTGATGCGGGGCTCGATCCCAGGACCCTGGGACCATGACCTGAGCCGAAGGCAGAGGCTTAATGACTGAGCCACCCAGGCGCCTGAAATGGAGTACTTCTGACAGAAATGTAAATTAGGAACATTGTTTGCAGAAGTAGAAAGTAGTAGACTAATAACCATAAAAGAAATTGAATTGATAATCAGAGATTACACCTATTGAAAACCATACC